AGTGTTCTATAGTCCCTCATATTCCTCCATCCTTCTTCCTCGTTGGGATCCCATCCCGGTTGGTTATTAGGCACTTTTTCCTCTCCTCTAGGAACAATTTGATTCTCACTTTCCCAAATCCTCATTGCAGCTGCCTGAATTAATTGATTCTCCTCTAGGGAGAAAAGTATACCCAGTATTGAATTTAATTCTTCCCAGGTATACATGCTTGGACCCAAGAATTGATCCAGTTGGTTCGGTACCTCAACTGGATCTTCCAATAGGGCTTTTATTTCCTTTTTATAATGTCTCAGCTCAGAGGCGGTCAATGGGGCATCTACAAACCCTATTCCCCCTCTAGCACCCCACATAGGTACTTCTGTCAATGGAAACAACCTTTCAGATCTCTCTTTTTTACTCCTGTTTTTCTCAGCCTGGAATCTGGTATTGTACCTGTTGGCCTTTTTCATTCTCACTCTGTCTGTCACAACCGTATGTACTCTCTCCCCCTTGTGCACACTCCCTTTCCATTTCTGTCCCTAGTCTTTCTTTTAACCCCAACCTCTCTCCAACACATTGAGTTATGGGGGAGAAAGAGAAAGGGATATTCTGGAGGCTGTTGGGGGCAAGGATAGGTACAGGAATATCTGATGACTTAGGTGAGGGTTTGAAGATGCAGCTGGGATTACAGAAATAATTGGACGAGACACAGGGGAGGCTGTGGGAACCTGGAGTCTTAAAGGTGGTTCTGAGGAGGATGTGTGTGGTGTTGGGGAAGTGCAAGGTGAATTAAGATTCGTGGGGCAGGTAGGAAGAACAGGTTCAGAAGGAGGACATGAGGGTATGGACAGGGACTTAGTGGGAACTGAAGGCAAGATGGGGTAAGGTGCTAATGGCAGAGGAGGAGGATGATGGATAACAGGTGGAGTTGGGGGAGGAGGTGGTGGGAGGTTATCTAGGGGGTTCCACTTCTTTTCAACTTTTCCTCCTTCTTCCCTACCTGACCCTTCAGATACTTGAAATACCTACACACTTTTCACTGTCTCGACTTTCTCAAGCCAACAGGATGCATATTTTGCTGCTTCTTCATCTGGAACCTCTTTTAAACTGACATGTTTATTTAATGCCAAGCATAACCATTTTTTCTTGCAGCCATACCAAGGCCAATAGACAGGGCCCTCTGAAATGCTTTCCATTGCCCATATTTCAGTACAATACTTTATCATTTTTATTTTATTTAGGCCCTTTAAAATATCTTCTTTTTCCCACCTGTTCAACATTTCCCCCAGGGGACTATTAGCGCCTACTTCCTTAGGGGTGTTCTTTCTTTTTCCTTTCTGACCTTTTTTCCTACACACTGTCCCATTGTCTTTTACTATTGAAACTCAACTATTACTTTCAATGAATACAACAAAATCCAGAAGAAATAATGAATGTAATATAAATCCAACGGTATTACGGTCTACCTAGATCAGACATTAATAGGAAAACTAAATAAGAAAACACTTAAACAAGAGTAAATATGATATTCTAAACATTAGTTTAAAGAAATCCACTTTGGAAATGGCTACAGCGCAACTTATCAAACACACCCGAATGTTAACAACAACTGGAATGCCAGCTGCAGGTGATCACCTGAAATAAGGGTAAGAGGGTAGCAAAACAGATTAATTACAACATTCAAAAGTAGAAAGGCCAACAATTGAAGTAGTTTTTAAAATAGTAGGGGAAACAAAAATAAATATGGCGGTCAAAGACAGAATGGCCAACAATGGAAATAGTAATTAAAATAGTTTGGGGAACTAAATAAATATGGGTGTCAAAAAAAAAAAAAATGGCAGACAATTGAAATATTAATTAAAATAGCGTGGGAAAATAAAATAAATATGTCTGTAAAAAACAAAATGGCAGACAATGGAAATTGTGACTAAAATAAAAATGGAATGGAACCCAAATGAAACAATTGAAGAGAGTGAAATAAAAACAGTGATATGTTTCCAATTAAAACCATTGTAACAATAAATATGGGTATTTATGATTAGCAGCTAAAGATGAGGAAATTCCTATGAATTAAATAACTATCCTATTCAATATGACCGCTCAGCTTAAAATGGATGCCTCAAATGACCCTCACAGTCCAAAATGGCCGCCCCGCCAGCCCATTATGATCTGAAATGGCCGCCCCGCCAGCCCCGTACCATCTCAAATGGCTCTCTTGAGAAGTGATCTGGGGACTCTTGGCTAGCCTTCATCCCAGAACTGCACTCTCCAAGGACCCGCAGCTGTACAAGAAAACCTCAAAACCACAGACTAACAGCAAATTCCTAGTAAAACTTCCAAACACAAGCCAAATCTCCCACAGATAAAATGGACATTAAACGAGCGAGAATAAATCACAAAAAAAATATAAATGACCAAATTATGACCAAACTAGAAATTTTAAACAAACTTTAAATAAAAACATCAAGTATAGATATAGATATAGATATATAGATATAGATACCCCTCCTACCTCTGGGGTCCTAATTCCCTGGACAACAAATCCTCCCTTTGGTTGGTTTCCAGGCAATCACCCCTGCCCACCCCAGTCCTTCCTCCCTCCAGTCCCTCTTGGGTTCCTAGTTCAGAGGGGACTTCCCCTTCCCAACCCCCTCTTTGGGATTCCT